ATGAAGTTTTAGATGACTTTTTCGTTTTGCCTGTTTCCATTAAAATGCTGCGAAGCATTGAAGCCCGGGTAAAATGCTAATGATCCGTGCATGGCTCTGGGAAGCCCTGTTCTTCAGCCCAGCTGGGCAAAAATTTAAGGGCCAAATACTTTCTTGGAGCTTGGTTGATTCCGCTCTTGCTCTGATGGGAAGGGTATTACCAAGGTGCTTGAATATGTGATCTTTTTAGAGAGCCAAAAGAGAAAGGGGCGGCGTGTGTTCCACAATGTCAAGTGGGAAAGCTTGTCCTGTAGTGGCAATGGATAATGCTTTAGTCTTGTGTGTTTTGCCCTTTTTAAAAAAAAAAAAAAAAAAAAGTATGGTCTTATCCTACACTTAAGAGTCTTGAGCGTGAACTGGGGCTTCACTGTGCTGGGTGCAAACATAGCATTTGCAAACATAAAATAGTGGCAGCATTTCACAAGTGAAATAAGAAGCCGTGTTAGAGATCTCAGAAGAATACTGTGGACTTTGGAGAGTGGGATAAGGAGTAGGAAGAAGAGAATAAATGCCTTTTATTTTGAATATCTTTTTCTTTTCCTGTTTTTGGAATTTTTCTTCTTCTAAACCACACCCAAATAACACTTCAGAGCTGAGGTTAGAGTGTAGAGTAGTGTTAAGAGAAAGTAAGTGGGTGTGGGTTGGCAAAAGGCGAGGCAAGTGCTTCTAGAATAATTCATGTTTTATTACAGCCTAAGTCACCCAGTGGCTTCAAGTATGTGACGTTTTGCTTAGTTACAGCGTTAAGATGGCAAAGCTGTCCTGATTTTTGACCCAAGGTTTATAGCACTTGGGATGCCATCTGCCAGCCAGAATGTCTAATAGCAACAGAGTGTTCATACTGTCTGTCTTCAGGCAGGCACTAGTCAAAGCTTTTTTTATCCGAAATATCTTTCTCTATATATCTATATACAGATATATAAATACCTTTATTTTTAAAACAAATGTTGACTCACCAGGGTGCACAATTGTAGTTTGAAAAAATACTTTAACTATAATACAGAAATGGGTGTTGTAACGTGATTTTGCAAGTTCACTCACAACTATGGTTATGACTTCAAGTTAATGAAATGATTCATGGCCCTTTTTATAGAATAAGAGTATTTGCCTTAATAGTAGTGTGTCAAATTGCATTTGATTATTTTGTTACCTCAACTGAGCATAACATTTATCTCCTGTATTACTATAAGCAGTGACTGGAGATAGTAGGAGCTAATGTTTTTGTTGAGGCTTATTTTGTTAAATCCCCTAACATGAAAGAGATAGCTTTTCATGTCAGCTTAAGCATGAGGAACTCCTGGGATCTTTTTTGGTGAAAGAGATGCTGGACTTTATTTGAAACTTGGAACTAAACTTAGTGAAATTGCTGTTCTGTCTCTCTCTTAAAAAATTAAAAGACTTGGGTATCTGCATCTGATAAAGTTGAATGGTTTCGGATTACTGTCTGTTATTGGGCATCTGTATAAGTTTCTTATTGTACCTGCCTGTCAACTGTGTAGCAGTCTAAGGCATTGCTTTTACAAAAGAAATGGTATTTCCCTTGCTATGAGTTGGCCAGAGTTTTCAAAATGGAGCACTATCTGTCTAACAGATCTGGAGTCCCCACACCTACCTGCCTTGTTGAGATGGTTTCCTCCCATGGTGGAGCACGTAGTGTATCTGTCCTCAGAGCTGAAGGTGTTGAGATAAGCTTGACCAATTCCTTCTAGACTTACATGTAGAAAGTAACCAAACAAAGCATATTCACTTTAAACTCACCCTTCCAAGCACAGATTGAAGATGAAAGCTCCCCTTTTTTCCACTAATAAGGAAGGCTGGATTATAAAGATAGTGTACGGGAAGGAAAGGAAGGAAAACATGCTTATGTTTTATGCTTCCAGGATGATAGCGTTTAGCCTCCTAATGTTGCTCTTCCAAGTTTTCTAAACAAGAAATACGAACATCCTTAATACTGACGTTGGTGTTGGTCCTAAAGTTACTTAATATGTTATGGCTCTATGTAAGTGGTCTTAACTTCTCAGTATACTTTTCAAACAAATATCAAGAGAAATATACCCTTAAAAATGGAAGTGATTTACACACGCTAGGTACACGTGTGTAGAGAATAAGCAGAATATTTTTGGTTTCCTGACTTGCTAGAAGGCTAATAAGCATAGCAATGTGTATGTAACTTGTTTGGAAAGTATGGCAATCACTTAAAGTTTACTTACTTGAGTTGAAATTGAGTAATGTGGTAACCTTGGAATGGTGAAGCAAAAGAAATTAAAGCAATGTGAAATTAAAACAATGTCAGTTCTGCTTCTGGGGCAGAAGCTGGACCAAATAATGGGAGGAGAAGACAAGGCTCCTAGAATAATAATAATATCCTCCTCCAACTCCAAAGTTCATTTTCAAAAGCAGTAATAAATGTGTTAACGGAGTTAGCAAAAAATTATATGTATTGAGTCTGGGGCTCTCTCAGCAAGATGCTGAAATGCATCTTCTCTCCTAGTTGAACTGTGCAGAGAAAAGTGGGCTTCAAATAAAAACTATGGGTCACCAAGACAAGTTAGGGACGGCATTTTCAATAACATCATGTTGTTAAGGATTAGCTGGTTCGTGTGAGCTAGTTTGATAGTTTCCATCATCATTTATCTATATTTAGAAATTGCTAATGGATTTATATGTATTTATTTAAATAAAACTACAAAGTGGTATAACTTTTTTTATCTCTCCCCTGTTCCCAGAGTTGGTTCCTTCAATTATGAGTAACATGCTGAATCCGGATGCTATTTTTTCAAACAATGAAATGAGCCTGTCAGACATTGAAATTTATGGTTTTGATTATGACTACACATTGGTCTTTTATTCTAAACATCTGCACACGCTGATCTTCAATGCTGCTCGAGATCTGCTTATTAATGAGCATCGGGTAAGTAAAATTAATGGAATAACAATGAACTTATGAATAAAGAGTATAATAAATAATTTCTAACTGAGAGGGGCATAACTCATCTTTTCATGCCTCAGTCCTAGCGTGGCTCCCTTATAACACATTTTGTACAATGGCTACATATGAACCACAGAAGTCCTAGTTTATTCTCAGCTGCAGTTTTGAGCAGAGTGCAATCTGACAACTGTTAAGGAATAGAGTTTTATTTGTTTTATTTTTCAATTTGGTGGTGGTGGGGTGGTTTTTTTGTTTTTTCCTGATTGTCAATTATTGGAGTTACCCTAATAGATAAGAAGCTTAAGAGTTACTGTTACTCTGTTGTATGCATTGCTGTGAGTGCAGTGATTAATTTCCATATGGAATATTTTTAGCCTGACTTCTTATGAGGTCTTTGATTGCGCTGTGTGCTTGCAAGGTGCTCTGTATGTGCCCGGCGTTTCAGCTGAGTTAGCTGAAGGGGCAGCGTGTGCAGCGACAGTGTAATCAGAGGCTGGATACAAGAGAGACCCAAGTTGAGTGTTCAGCTCAGTATTCCCCTAAGAGCGAGCGCTGCCCTGTTGCCTTACCAAGCAGCGTGTTCGCATCGGTGGCCAGTTGACATTCAAGCAGCTTGGAGCTGGGTGTTGCGTGGTTTGGGGATGGGAGAACTTACTGTGTGTCCGAAAGCTGGGGGGGAGATGGGTGACTTGGGAAACTGAAGGTATTGCAGGGAAAAAGATTGAAGAAAACGTGGACTGAAAGAGGCAAAGTTTATTGAGCTGTAGGACTTGCAGGAAAATAAAAGACAAAAAGCCCACAGAGTAACTTTATTAATAAAACTGCTTGTGTATTTTATATAGCCTAAATCTGAATGGGTGGTGTTACTCTACTTTCATATTTGAATCTAAAGGTTAGGAGCTATATATAAAAATCTATAAATATCCCTGGAAGAACAAACAAAACTTCATGGGCGCTACAAGCATATACAACTTGATTCCCCTAAGACTTTGGCATGTCTTGTTAGCAATTTCTGTAGGATGTGTAAATACACTTTAATAAAGCTACCTGGTTCTTGCAAAATCAACATTACCATAGGAGTCAAGATTAATTCTTCTAGACAATAATTAAACCGGTGATCTGTCTTTACTATTTGAATGAATTCAGGCAGGGATAACTTTCCAGTTTGTCTCAATTAAAATATCTTGAGTTCTAATAAATTAAGCTGTAATTACTTTTTGAGACAACTTATTGAAATATATCCTCTCCTGTTGGAATTTACTGGGGGACAACAGTTTTTATTAATGCTATCTCTGTAGCTGCTTACACTGTTAATGTTTTTCTTGCCTTTAACATTAGAAAAAGTTTCTAGATAGTATTGCCCATTATGACTGTCATAGCTAACCTAAAAGATGGCCAGTTTTGGTTGTGGCAGTGTAAAGTAATTAATCAGAAATTGCAAAATACAGTGTAGGAAGCAAGGAATTTTGAAGTGTGTCCAAGAGAATAAACATCAATTTAATGCTAATCTTGGAGGTGGCAGCAGGTGTTGAATGTAAACTCTTGCTCTTGGGTTTCTTTCTTTCCTAATGTACGGGCCTTGCGCCACCTTATCTGGACTGTTGTTTCAGTCCAGATATATCTATCCCTACCGAGAGTGGGGTAAGCAAACAGTGTAATTTTTAATCATGATTTTGTTTGGCTTGTAAGGAAGCTTTGATTTGTGTGCCAAGATAGGCTCAATCTTTGTCTCATATGTACTGGCATGCATGCAAAAAGACAGCCTTATAGTAGAATAAATTGAAGTAGGAAAGTCAAGCATGCAGAAATTTGAAAAAGAAATAAATTTCCTTGTTCATGCTTGATGTGGCTGCTTTGAGGCATGCGTGGTACATCGTAGTTATTAATTATTGGAATTCTGTATCAGTCCCTGATGTTTTCCCTTGTCTCCTTTTCTGCTTTATGTTCCCTGGCCAAATCTATACATCTTCCCAACGCATCTGTAGGCTTTTGGTGCTGTTCTTCGTTCAGATCAGTAGCCTCCCCCATGTTTTCTGGAAGTGGTGGTAGGGATGATAGTTCAGAAGTTAGGAGAAAAGGCTATTTTCTTTGACTGTAGATGCCTGTGCTCAATACAAGCACAATCTACAGCAGTTGCAGAGCAAGTCCTCTTCAGCACAGATAAAAACTTTGTGGAGAAATTGCGATTTATTTATTTTTGTGTAAGAATAGCTAGAGCCTCTGCTGAAGCTGTATAATCTACTTTTTTCCCCTGAAATTTACAATTATGGAGACTGTTGTTGAGAAGGTGGAGAATGTGCCTGAGATGTCAAATGCGTCTTAGAACTTGACAAATGCAAGTTCTAAGGTTGCTGTAGCCTGTGGGAGGAAAATGAAGGATCACCTTTCAGTTGGTTAATCAAAGAAATGATAGTTTTCTCCGGCCTTGTCAGAAATGACTGAAGCATTTTACCTTTTAAGAACAAATGAACGAAACCCTTAGCCCAAGGCGCACACGTAACATTTTTTTCATGGCTAACCTATGCTTAAAGCAGGACAAAATTACAATCGACTGAGAATGGGCTTGTACTGAAAAATGTTAGAAAACTCTCTACTAGGTGGTCTGAGCTACTTATGCTATCTATAAACAACCTGAGGAAAGAATACATGACACAGACATTCAATTCGTGTGCATTTATAAACAGCAAGGTGTTACAAATGCTGTCCAGGGTAAATACAGTTGGGTCCCTGTGGTGTTCTCCTGAAGTGACTCACCCTGGTGGTGTTTAGTGCACTTTAATGTAACTTGCTTTCAGAATCTGATCTTTGTGATGCACTGTACCTTGGGGAAAGTCCCTGCTACCTGGAGAAGCCAGGGTCCTCTAACATTAGCTGTTGTGAATTCCTCCCTCCCTCCCTCCCTCCTGTATTTGCAGTGCACTTGTATGTTTAAGCACCTCTGGGGTCTACATTTCAAACAGGACAATCTAAGACCAGGACTATGATCCACACTTAGGGAGCCAAAACAGGTAGCTGTGCTTCTTTCTTGAAAATGCCAGAGATTTTTTTGCTCCTGTTAATATAGATGATATCGTATTGATTTTTCTGTCAATAGAAGCGAGCAGTAAAGTTCAGGTATCTCTGTAAATCAGGCAATATTCTTGGGCTTCTAGCTAGAAGGTTGAGTTAGAAACTGTGTTTGTATGGTCTGTTTCTTGGTGACACTTCACAATGCAAGGTAACCCAGCTATTAAATTTTAGGATGTTAATATAGTTTGTTTTCAAAGGTGCATATATTAAAATAACTTTTTGAACAAGAGGCTAATGTTCAAAGCTGATCACTACAGAGTACCTGGATGTCCAACTTCGGGTACCGTGCTTGACTTAAATTTAAAATGTTGACCTTGGATTTTGGAAAAATGTTTGGCTTGTCTTGCACTGTACATATGTTCCTGCAAATCTCACCAACCTATCAAAAAGCCTCTTTTAATGACTAGTGAAAATGAGAAGCATAGAAAACTTAGGCTTTTAAAATTCTGCAGAAACAATTTTTTATTTGTTTTTGTTATGGATTTAAAATTAAATCATTGCCATCTTCTCTTAGTATCCTGCAGAAATAAGAAAATATGATTATGATCCCAATTTTGCAATCAGAGGACTTCATTATGATGTGCACCGGGTATGTATAAATAACTTTGTGATGAGTTATGTAGTGCTGAGAACCTAGCCAGGGAAAATAAATAGGGCTTTTAAGTCAACCAGTGTTAACATGCAAGGATTTTGTTTCATATTTTTTTTTCTCTTTCATGGCAAGCTTGATTTTTTTTTTTTATTTTACTTTTTTTTTTTTATATAGCTCTTAAGTATAAAGTGTTTTGGGTCTTCTGTTCTCATGGTGGGCAGGGGGAGGGAGAAAGACAACTTAGAGTGCAACAGAATAAACCTAAGCAGGCATCTGCTAGTAGGAAAAGATATTTCTTCATGACCTAGCTCAGGTCACTGGACAATGTTTCCTTGGTGATTTGGCAAGTGCTAGGTAAAAGTTATTGATAAAGTATTTTGGAAGCTATGAAGGAAGTTGAAGTGAAGGTACTCAGGTGTTCTTGAGACAGAAAGATTATAGATAAAGTTGCTTTGATTTGTATAATTTCAGTTTTTATCACATCGACTATTTGACATGATTTTTTTAATCTCCCCCCTCCCCCAAAGGCATTATTAATGAAGATCGATGCTTTTCATTATATTCAGCTGGGAACAGTTTACAGGTAGGTAAAATTATTTCCTATTTATAATAAAAATGTATACTCTTGTATTTTGAATCTGTTAATTGCATTTATTAGTGTACATCTTAGGTTCATCTCAGGAACAGTGCACTGAAAAGCACGACATGAATGAGTATTGCAGTCTTACTGGAAGGGGGTTTCTCTGCACCTCTGTGTGTACACACGGACATGCGCACGTGTTTACTGACTGATACAGTAGAGCTGATTCTCCAGTTCAGAGCTGGGGAAGTTGGCAAGCTGGTTGGTCACATAGTGTTGACGCACTTTGTTTCCGGCTGCTAAATTGTGCTGAAAGACATCTAAAAATACACTGATGACTTCTCCGCTGTTGCTTTCTGTGTAAAGAATTGTCACAGAGTGCCTGTTAGAATGACTTTGGTGTGGTTGCAGAGACACTTGAGAGGTCGTCCTGTATTTGCACAGACGTTTTAAGTTGGGACATATCATTCTGCAAGCATGATGTGGTTGGAGCACAACTGCTTTGTGTCCGCACAGCCTGACCTTAATTTTGTTTAGAATAAGATTACCTTTCTCTTCTACACCAACACTGAGCTTTGCTGTCAGTTGCTGCATGTCTGTAGTTCTTAGTTTTAACCTTCCATGTGCTCTGTATGTGTGTAGGACAATTATACCACTGAAAGTAGCAGAACTTGCCCAAGTGTACAGCCTTATTTGCACTGAGAGGTGTAAGCAATTCTGGTATCCCTCTAACAATGCACATCTCCAAGAGCAGCAATGGGAGCACTGCTGTAGGTGAACTGTGATGCTTTTAGTGCCATCTGTCCATGCTGTGAGTGGAATAAAATAAACTTTGTAGTTATTCAGCTGGACTGTGAACTGTGTCAAGACTATGGGTCTTTTGGTAAAACTAATCTACAGCTTTGCGTACACAGTCGTCGTCTCTCCTCTCCGGATTTCACGTGTATCTATTGTCCTCTCTTGATTTGTGCTTAAGTAGCTCCTGGTCTGCAAGCGTTTTCTTTAGCAGTATTCAGATACCACTTGGCATAGCTGTCTGCAGACTAGAAGATGAGTCAGTCCTTCTTAATTCTGATTGTATTACTTGGTATGTGTTTAACAGTTTGGTTGCATTTCTTTGTGTTTCCTGCTGTGGAGTGGGTGACGATGAACTCTGTATGTTACAAAACCAAAAAATCTGCCTTGTTGGTGCACAATACTAACTCGAATGCTGGAGTCCTGCCAGCAGTAGCACAGAGCTATGGGCAAGTCGATGTAGCATTGAGAAGTGCAGTAAAGAAACTAGTTAACGGGGGACTCTGCTACCATAGCAGCCCCGAGGAAGTTCATGTATCGTGCCCTTCCACTGCAAAGCTGGTGTTGGACACTAAACACTGAAAGTACTAGGCTTATTAATTAATTAATTTTTTAATGTCTCACAACACTTCAGGGTAAGACCCAGAAAGGGAGACACTGAAATAACTGTCTGTCTTACAAGGCTGCGAAACACCATAAGTAGGCTTGGAAAAAAGGGACCAGATGATCTGGTTTTCATTTGTGTTCTTTAATCTTACGCAAAACCTCAACACTTCTGTGTCCTCTGCTGAGGATGTTTGCATGCCTGCGGTGTTTTAGATGCTTTAGCGCAAGATGCTTGATACTGTGAACATTCAAAACCAAAACAAAGCCTTTAATCTCTTAATAGTTGATAAAGAAACTCTGGGGAGAGATGATGTCTCCTTCTCCATTTGTTGTTACATTTTTATATTTTAAATACTTGTCAACCATCCTTCAAGGAATCTTAAATTTTGGGAAACTGAACTGTTGATACGGTTTAAAAGAAATTCTCATTTAGTTAAAGGTTATGTATGTTTTTCTTTCCCTTGAATCTTCAAGGTCATGCTGCAGAATAATCTGGTTTAAACACTATCACATCATCAGTGCTGTATGAAACAAAGGTGGAGTGAGGAATTACTTTGCGTTAAGAAACGGGAAGTTCTAACTACTTCTTACAAACCCTTGAGGCATAGTTTCAATGGAGACTAATTAGCTCTTTTCCCCTAAGAAAGTAAAAAGGACTTAAAATTGGAATGTGTTCTGTGTGCGTCAGCCTGTTAAAATGTTACTTGTTCTGTAAGGAAAGATGATGCTGTTTTAACTTACAGACTAAAGTGTTGCTATGACATTATTAGTATTTTAATAAGCTCCAGATCTAAGTGTTAGTCTGTCAGAGTTTCATTTGGTAATTACTTGAAAATTTTAATCTGACTTTTGAACTAAAGTTGACGATGTTTTCCAGAGGCCTCAGTGTTGTCCCAGATGAAGAAGTCATTGCAATGTATGATGGTTCCCATGTCCCTTTAGAACAAATGAGTGACTTTTATGGAAAGGTAAAACCACAAACTGCTATTTAAAAATGATTTATTTTTTTGGGGGGTGGGGGTAGCATTGTCTACACTTTGTTCTTGTTCTTACTAGCAGTTATATTTTCTTAATACACGATTGACTTACAGTGCTAGATGTGAAGTTTGCCCTCTAAAGTGACAAATATATTGTCTTTCTCCCACTTGCTGTAGTTTCTTCTTTCACTGTCCCTTGCCTAGTCATACAGACAGAGAAGCAGAACATAGAAAAATCAAGTGACTTGCTCAATGTTGCACAGCAAATCTGATAAAGGCTGGGAAATGAACCATATCTGGTACCTTACCCCAGCTATGTACTTTTTCCAGGTGGTCTAATGGCTTAGCTTATGTAGCAGCAAGTAAATGTATGGAGGCATCTCTTGCAATACAAGCTGGCAGAGTGACAGTAAGAGGATTTGACAAAAGATGAATGATAAAAGATAAAGCTTTTAAGTGTAGGATTTGACTTTGTGGGGAAAGTTGATGATCTTGCTGGTAGGTTCCTTCCTCTTTCCCAAACCCCTTTTACTTATGCATCTTAATTCCATGTTGACGTGAAAGGCCCTTCTTTGTGCTGTGGAGCATTTTGTTGTTCTCGTGCTTGTTCTTATTTTAAGGAGCTGAACTTAGAATTCCCAAATCTGGTCTCTGCAGCGGTTCTGAAGATTGCCCTGGCGTTCCCTGTGGGATGCCTTGGTCTCTGCAGGTCTATGCTTTCTTTGATCTTGGAAAGGACAGTGACAGGATAAGAGGCCGTGGGCACAAACTGAAACACAGGCGGCTTCCTCTGAACATCAGGAAACACTTCCTTTACTGTGAGGGTGACTGAGCACTGGTGTTGGTTGGTTGCCCAGGAAGCTTGTGGAGTCTCCATCTTTGGAGATTCAGAAGCCATCTGGACAAGGTCCTGGGCAACTGGCTCTAGGTGGCCACACTTGAGCAAGGGGGTTGGACAAGATGACCTCCAGAGGTCCCTTCCAACCTCAACCATTCTCTGTTTCTGTGATCTTGACCGGTGTTCTCTTGAGCTGGTTGCTTTACCTCTCTTCTTCTTGAAGTACTTGGTTTGTATTTGCCCTTGTATGATGAGATTGTCTGCTTTTGTGAAACTTAACTATAGTTACAGCTTTTGCAGACTAGAAATCTTTTCCTCTGTTACTGCATTAGTTATTTTAGATTCTTACAACTTCTTAGTATCACTTTTCAAGAAGGTAAATTGCTTTGCAGTCCTAATCAATACTCATTTAAAAAAAACCCACAAAACAACAAATAACAAAGCTTTCACCCCCATCACAATATCCAGTGCCTCTTTATAGAAGTGCAGACTTCCAGTGAAGGCTTAAGTCCTTCTCTTGACTTTTACTTGAGTGCTGTCTTTTATTTGTTTATGAATTAAAATACTGCTCTTAGGAGTAATGAGTCATGATTAATTCTTAAAATAAAGCCAACGCTTTTGTTGGAGTTTTGTTTTATTGAAAGTCTGTTAGTTAAAAAAAAATTACAGCAATGTGAACAGTGATGGCAAAAGCTGAATATCTGCAACTAAGCTGAAGTGTTTATACTGAATGAATGAAAGTGTTTTAATCTGAGAAATGCCTGACCTTTTCTTCTTTCTTCTTCCCACCCCTGTAGAGCTCACAAGGAAATACAATGAAGCAATTCATGGATATATTTTCCTTGCCAGAAATGACGCTCCTTTCTTGTGTGAATGAGTATTTTCTGAAAAACAACATAGACTATGAGCCTGTTCATCTGTACAAAGATGTCAAGGTACTAGCTTTGAAGACTTAGGTAAACCTCTACGTTTGTGTGTCTTCTCTGTGAGCACTTCAGGAAGCTTCAACCTGTTGCGGCAGCTCCGGTGAAATACCTCAATTTTAGGTGTTGTATAGAGTAATTATTGCTATACAACCATAAAAACATAAGTAAAATGAAGGTAGACCTTGGAAAGGAAACAGGATAATTTGAAATTTGTTTTAAACCTGACGTTCTAGGGCTGTTGCTCTTTTTGTGGGTTTGAGGGGTGGATAGGGGGAAAGTGAAAAAGCTCTTGTACGTCGATAAAGCTTCTTTTGATTGTTATTAAAGGTATACTTTTCTCACTAGCAGGAGTTGTAAAAGGCTATAGGGAGTTCCAGTTTGGAGCTTTCAGCTGTACTGCTCCTGTATCTTCACTAGTATACGATCATTTGCTGTCTCTTGCTTTTGGCATATCTATTTTGCCTGTTTTCCCTCTCTTCCTCCTCCAAAAAAATCTAGTAATAATGACTAGAGTAATTTGACCCTCTTGATTCCTCAGGATGTATCCTGCGGAGGAGATAATCTTATGTCATGGTTATTTAAGAATGGAAGAGGTCATGCCCAAGTTGATGGTATTTGTCTGCACAAGCTTTCCATCCAAGACCTTTTCCTGGCCCCTTGTTGACATGTATTAAACTTCTGTAGTTGTTCAGCATATGTGATGTGCCTGAATGTTGAATTTCTCACTTTCTCAAGTAGCTCAGATGGGTTTTAAGAAACTTTTGACCTCCAGAGCAATTTTCCCTTCTGCCTATCATTACATAGAGTCAGAAGGCTAGTTCTTGTGGTTTGTGCTGAAGTGTTTGTAGAAACTTCTGTACTGCAATGCTCAGCATTACCAACATTTTGGAAGCCCTACAGTGGCATGTTTGAGGATTTTTAGGACATATTCCATGTAAGTACCAAAATGGCAGTACTACTGTCCTAAACAAAGTGGTCTGGTGCAGCGCTGGCTCAGGAGAGCTGCCAAATGCCTTCAGAGTGCCTTATGGGTACTTTGCTTAAGCATTTAGCTTCTTTCATCTGTTCATAAATTTCTCTTTTAAATAGCCAGGGTATTTGTGAGTGATCATAATCTAAAATCTGACTTAAAGTGTGTGTGTTGTGTTTTTTTTTTTTTTTTTCCCCCAAGAGGAAAGGAATGTGTTCTGCTCCAAAGGTCACTGGAAATCTGTGGTGACTGCTTCTGCAGAGGGCTTTCACCCCACTTCACCCGTCTGAGCGCCCTTTCACAGTTGTTATATAAAACAGCCCTTGTGCTATGCAGTTTTGTACTTCCCAAAAATACAAAGTTAGTTTCTTGGAGTACAGGCTTACTCTTTGTCTAGTGGTAACATAATGAATATCATATGGCATTTCTGTAAAGTTGAAAGTGTAATTCGGAGAAAGGAATTGTTTTAAAAACAAATTACTACTGCTATGCAGTGAGCAGGGTTTTTACACTTGAAAAGATTTTTCAGTTCTTTAGTGGTCTGTTGCTTTCCTGACAGGATTCAATCAGGGATGTCCACATCAAAGGAATAATGTACAGAGCAATTGAAGCAGATATTGGTAAGTACTATTGAGATCATCTGTCAAAGCTTTTTTCACTGATAGTATAATGATCTTTCTGGCTTCCTTATTTAAGATGATAAATTCTAAATTTTAAAGCTTGAAAGAGTTATTTCCAGTTGTCTGAGGTGCCTTTGTTAAGTGTAACCTCATGTTCAGAACCCTTGGTTGAGTGCAGAGAAAATTCTTGTGGAAAAACTTTTTCAATTAATACTGTATTTTCCCCAATCCTCACAGAGAAATACATCTGCTATGCCGAACAAACTCGTGCGGTGTTAGCAAAGTTGGCTGATCACGGCAAGAAGATGTTTCTCATCACAAACAGTCCCAGCAGCTTCGTGTAAGGGATCAGTTGTTTGCTGTTCAACTATACGTTTTATAGGATGGGGAGGATGAGGTTCTCGAATGTAATTCTATATTGCGTAGATAACTGCACTTCTGTTATGCTTCACTGTTAATACCTCTCCGTTCTTTTTAGGGACAAAGGCATGAAGTTCATAGTTGGCAAGGACTGGAGGGATCTCTTTGATGTGGTCATTGTACAGGCTGATAAGCCAAACTTTTTCAACGATAAGCGAAGGTGGGTATTTAGTCAGTAAAGAATGATTCAAGCAGCTTATTCCATATAAGGCTATAGAGCGTGTTATGAAATATTTTAGTTTGAATGCAATGTAAAATGAAATCATATTTGATGAAATCCTGTTTAAGGTCATTACAGAATGCAGCAATACCCAATTCTGAAGTCCAAATATTTACCATTTCTTACCTAAGAAAGTTCCAGTAGCTATTACAGGTCTATTGGACTGAGTTAGGGTCACAGAAGCTGTTTTTAACATCTTAGCTTGTAAGTTGAAGTGTGTTCCTTTCCTAATAAACGTGAGAAATTTTGGTGCCTTTCAGAATCAGCCCCCTATCTGGAAATGTCTTTCATTGCTTCTGGTTTTGTTTAGTCGTACATGATATTTAAAGGGCAGACTGGCTGACAGACTGGAGTATTTGGACTCGTTGTTCAATTAAGTAAACACATTTGTAATGCGTATGCACTACTCTTACGCTTGAAAAAGACCTATTCCTTTACGTGTACTTACAATTTGAAAGTGAGATAGAGGGAGGTGGGATTTTTTTTCCTTTACTTTTTTCATTTAATTTTAAAAATAATTTTGCTGTATGTCTTGCCCCCAGTCCTCTGCCCCCGCTTCTTCAGTTGTTCAGTTGTACAAAATGAGGTATGGGGCAAGATTTTTACACATCTTCACTTCTTTGTGTTCTCTTCTCTCCTTCTTAGTGGCAGGCAACTCATAGTTTCTTCCCCTCTGTCTGGGACCCCTGCCTTAGTTCTTAACAGTTCTCAAACTCCATTATAAACATCATAGGTATACTGGATAGATACACTGCATTTCACTGGCTAAAGCTGAAGTTTTGGAGCTTTGCTTTTTCTGCCTATTACAAAATGTTCAGATGCTAGAGAGCATGTTTTCCTTTTGAAAGATGAATATTTTTAAAATTTTAATCTCCTAAAAAGTGACAGAATTTCTACAGCAATGTAAAAATTGTTTATAATTTTATTCTAGACCATTTCGGAAGGTGAATGAAAGGGGAGTGTTGCTTTGGGACAAAATTCACAAGCTGCAGAAAGGTCAGATTTACAAACAGGTATGCTTTCAATAAACTCTTTCAGTTCAAATTTAATACTCATTTCCTAGAATCCTAAGCTTCTTTAAACATCATAAAGGCTTCTAAAAAGTAGATATGTTTAAGACAGTTGTTCTAATGATTGAAGTGGTACAAATTCATTGTTGGTATTGTATGTCTGCAGTTTACTTGCCTCTTGAAGTGATAGCATTACTGAAATTGCCTGTAAAATTTGGGATTCATAATATATAAACTGAGGACAAGATTCTTGATATGAAAATATTTTTAGGGGTGTACTAAATTCCTTTTTCATGTCTGTGAAGTCACAAGCTGCGTGTCACTACAACGTACGTGTCATTGTTTCTGCAGGGTAACTTGTACGAATTTCTGAAGCTTACTGGCTGGAGAGGCTCTAAGGTTCTCTACTTTGGTGATCACATTTACAGTGACTTGGCAGTAAGTAGTTTACTTTCACAAAATAGGAAAAAAGACGAGGCTTTTTGTTTTCCTCTCTTCCTCCCCAGTTATTCAAAATAACACACTTTCATTTGAGATTTCCAAATACAACAAAATTTGAGTTGTTCGTTAAGCCATATTGCTTTTCTTGCAGTGAAGAAAATTGGTGCCGTAAAAGGCCGACCGTGTTTTCCACCTGACTTGTAGCATTTAACTTGTTTACCAGCTGCGCTCAGGAACCTGTGAGTTTATGTTCCTGATCCAGATACTGATTATGTCAGATGTAACAGAGAGTAAACACAGACATTTACTACCAAGTGTAATAAGAGCTGAATGAACTTCTGTTTTGAATGCAGGGGAGGCAATCTTCCTGTCACTAATGGTGAACTAACTTTCTTCCTGAGATCTTGCTATAGTTTGTAGCCCCGCTATCCAGGCATTTTCCTACTACCTTATGAACAAGTGTACTGTTAACTGTTACTTTAGAATAAGAGACCACCACTTAACTCTTTTGTAATTGATAGCATATGAACGCCTGGATATGACTTTCCACTGCCAAGCAGTGGTAACACGTTTCAGCAGCAGCAGATGTTAACATTTTTGCCCCAATCTGCTCTTAAAAAGAAAAGTAAGTTCGGGTGCTTCAGGAGGCTGAGGGCCAAAGGAAGGAGGAGGCAGCTCTGTTCTTCTCTGGCACAGTGGAGGGAAGAGCACAGGTGGCAGCTGCCTTGTCCTGTACTTGTCAGGAGGAGCTTGAATACCTGGGGGTCCTGATAGGACCCTTCTGTCAGCTGAGCGTATGGGTAAATACCACAAACCCAACACACGGTTTCCTCCAGATACTTCTGGCAGTGGCAGAGGTCTCATCTGCAAGAGGAGTTTCCTGCTGTTTGTTTTAAACCTAATGAATTAGTGCTTATTTGCAAGTGCTTATGTGTTCTTTATCTCTCTCTCTTTAAAAATGTGGGATTTGAAGCTTACTCTGAAATTAAATTCTATTGCCTATTGGAACAGTTAAGTCCTGCTGTCTAATATTTCTGGTAATACATAAGAAGCAATTGAATTAGTGCGTCTTTGGAATAAACAATGGTCAAATTCTTCAGTTCTTTTAAGTAGTTCTTTTTAAGACTAATACTTGTATTTTGTAATTCTTGGTGAATAGGATTTGACCCTGAAGCACGGCTGGCGCACTGGTGCAATTATTCCAGAGTTACGGTCAGAGATTAAAATCATGAACACAGAGAAGTACATTCAAACCATGACCTGGCTGCAAACCTTGACAGGATTACTGGAACACATGCAGGTTTGTTCTGTGTGTGTGTAATCGGCTCTGTATAGCAAAGGGATCCAGCCAAGTTTCTAAATGCTGGACACTGACGTTGCAAGTACTTTCTGTCTCACTGAAGTTCACCAGTTTGACTGTAGATAAATAAATGCAATTATTTGTGTGGCCAGTTAATTAAGAGTTTTACTAAAATCTTGTTCCCTTCCTCCACTTGTCAGCCTGGATTGATTCCTGCTTTCAGTTGCTTAAAATGCACGTGGGTATCTTCTGTATACCAATCTCTGAAGCATTGCTCTTGTCCTGTTAGCTGATTAGCAGAAGGGTTTATTAATGGAAAGGCTCATTTACCAGGGCATCCTTAGTTACCTGTCATCCATACTTTACATTCCAGGTTCACCGTGATCCTGATTCACAAATGATTTTAGAAGAATGGAAGAAGGAAAGGAAAGAAATGAGGTAAGACATGGGAGATGAATTTGCAATATACTTCATGGTAGCCAAGTGTTCTATGTGATATCTCCCACAGGTTTCTTCAGAATTTCTATCCCTCCCTGATTTATAGTCCCTGGTAGTTACCAACCTTCTAAAATTACCTGTGTAAAGTAATATTCTACCTGTGCAGCTCTTCTCCCCTCTGACCCTTTGTGCAAATGAACCCTTCTTCCCTGTTCCCCTTCTTTGAAACAGATGTTAGTTTTCTGCATGAAAGGGTAACATCAGATCAAATACTTCTCCTTCTCATCTTAGTTCTCCTGTCCCTCTATGTTCAGCTATCACTATCGCTACTGATTACACAGCTTAACTGCTGCATGATTTAAAAATGTGTTTCTGTATCAAGACTTAGGTCACTTCTTCAGGTTTTTTTAGATGATTTCTTCAGATTACATACAATACATCTTAGAATATGCAGAAACTGGGCTCTGCACTAGACTGGATTTAGCATCTCATCCCAGAGATGGGTAATACGGCTAAAACTCCTAAAAATCTACTGTCATGAAGGAGCAATCCCTAAATGCAGGGCGTGCGAAGTGCACAGTTGGCAAGGCCAGCAGCTATACCACCAGCAGCTTTCCCCAGAAATGTGGAAGTAAATGAAATGGGAATGATAGTTGGCAGTGACTAATAACAGAAGTTAATTCCAAGATGTGTTTAAGCTTTTTGTGTACATTAGGCCAAATCTTTGCTTTTTTTTTTTTTTTTTTAAACTCTTATCTTTGGGACAAGTGGATGTTATTAGGATTTAGATGAAGGCAAAAGTCTTCTTTCGCAATCTCTAGAAAGGAAAGCTTGAGATGTCATGTTTTGAAGTCAGAAGCAACTTATCAGTGGTTTTAGTGGGAGAAGTGTGAAGCTCTTCTGTTCATTACTGTGATTGCTAGATCTGGGCTACATATGTGCAAAAGGTGCAAAAATTTCTTATGTGGTGCATTTAACTGGCATGAAGTGCAATGGCAAGAGAATAACGCATAGAACAGATTATAGGAACTGCTTGCTTCAGGTTCTGCATGCTAGCTGGTAAAGAGATGTGTGCAGGTATGTTCACTTCATTCTCTTTGTTTTTTTTGGGGGACAGGGAGATGAACAGGAATTTCTTCAACGCACAGTTTGGAAGCTTATTCAGAACTGATGAGAATCCAACTTATTTCCTAAGACGTCTCTCTAGATTTGCAGATATCTACATGGCATCATTGAGTTGTCTCTTGAACTATGAGCCTGATTACACGTTTTATCCAAGAAGGACTCCTTTGCAGCATGAACTTCCTGGCTGGTCAGACCAGCTGTGCACTGGTACATTCAGAATACCTTTCCTACAGGAGACAGTTCAGGTCAAATAAGCACTTGGCTTGTTCTCCCTAAAATGGGCAAATACATCTTTTTTTTTTGAATGTACATGTATTTTATTTAAGTCACTTAAAATCTGTTATCTTGATTTAGATGTAATTCATACTTGTTCTTATAAGCATCGTGCCCATTTTCTTCGCTCCTGCTCGGAGATGTGAAAACTCCTCTTACACACAGAAGAGATGATGGACTGCCAAAATAGTAGTGGGCTGGGAGGGAGGGCAAGTTTGAGGGGAAGGACTGGTGGTGTTCTGGGGTGGTTGTTTTTGTTTATTCATTGGAAATTTCGATCTGCAGCCTTGTGGTTTACAAAGAAATACCTATACTCTCTGTTCTGGCCCTGATCAGAACTCCAGCTGGAGCCTGTAATGGATCTTGTCACTGAAGAGCTTAAATCCAGTATTAGTAATTCAGTGATACACAGTTAGTAGCCAGTTTACGGTGAGACTGAGAGGGATGGTGTACCCGTTCTAATTTTCCTTGCTGCCGTAGCTAGAGCCTTACCTGTAACTGAACTAACTGCTGCGTAGTGTTGGTGTGGCTCTGCTGCACCGCAGTGATTACAGCGCAGGCGGGCTCAGGCTGATGGCGGCTTTTTCTCCTGTCTGTGCAGTTCCTGTTCTTGCAATGTCTGTGCTTGGCTGTAGGTGAACCTGAGCCTAAAACTGCAAGTGGCGGTAACTTGGGCTGCTTCAGCTTCCTTTTTGTTAATTTTTAGGCACCTTTCTCTTTAAGTTTCAAAACACTTTAAATATCCACTCTCTGAGAATAGAGCCATTTCAAGAGGTCGTGCATTTTGCATTTCGAAGTGGAGACAGATCTCCGTTAGGCTTTAGATTGATCCTAAATGCTGCTTTTTAAAATTTTAACAGTGTCTTACAGTGGTATGCAATGTGGTTTTGCTGTTCCCTAGAAGAGAATGTATTTCATATAGCCTTCAGTAATGGACTTCTACAGTCAAAAGTAAACGCGCACAATGGGCAAATGAGTTGAAAGAAAAATTAAGAAATGAGAAAACGAAAACCAGAGTTTTCCGATGACATTTTTTTTTAGCTCAAGCTCTCAAAGCTGAATTGGAGGTGGTGGACAGTTTGCATCAGTCAAAATAACTTTGGCGGTGCAGATCAGAAGTTGTATTGAATTACTGAAATTATAGGTAATGCATGAACACAAACTCTGGATAGCATATATGTTCCAAAGATTTGAGCTGAAAAACGTTTATTTTGCACAAGGAAAACATCTGTTGATGTGTTTCCTCAAACAGGCACTTTATAGAACTGCTATATAGTTGTTTTTAAAAAAGGATGCTTTCCTTTCTTTGATCCGAAGGAAATGGTTTTTTTTTTTTTTAACTGGTGCTTCCCACCCCAGCCATTTTAGAAGGCATAATATGATTAATATTTTTCAAATTCTAGTTATTAAAGGCTCTGTTTTTAAAAGCGTATAATTAACAAAATATATAGCATTTGGTATTCTTCACTTCATTTGGGGATATCACTTGCTTCCTACCATGATTGTCAGGTAAACAAACTTTTGGTGACCAAAAGTTTTCTTGTTTGGTTTTTTTTTAACCTGTCTGTATTATGTGCAAGTACCTGTATTGAATTTCATATGCAGTTATCTTTCATATTTTTAAAAGCATGTTTGCAAAGTAAAGAATGCATTCTAATCTAGCCTGCACAATTTCATAAGCAGTTTTCTTGTATGCTTGAAATCAGTCTGAAGTCCTCAGAGGCGGTTATAGATCTTATGTTCGTGGTTTTCTTGTGCTCCTGTTACAAACTTGATGTGCAACGCGCCTGAAGAGAGTGTGTGTGTGTGTGTGTGTGTATTTAAACAGATTAATATACTTGAAACAAGAAAGTTCATCTGACAGTCCTGCTGTTTTGCTGGAAGAAAAAGATAGAGTTTTGCAGGAAGTTAGTTTGGCTTTATCAGGAGATTTGGTGGTGGGGCTGTGCGAGAAATATTTGGCATAACTTGATAATGAAATGTGGGGATGGAAATATCCCTGATTTGCCTTCAGTTCTTTATCCTAATGCTCAGCTAAAACCGAACTTGGTGTTACATGTGTGTAGCACCTCTCACGCTCCAGAGATTTCAACGCACTGTTTAAACAAACAAACAAACCCAAACCACTGTACATTCTTCATCTTACTACCAGCAAATAATAGTATTATGAATTCAGTAATGCAGAACTGAATAACGGTACTGTTTTGTTGGTTATAGCTGTCTGATGTTTCTTCTTTTAAAGCTGGCTAGGAGTCAGTCTGTTTGCCTAATTTTCCCATGTTAAGCAGGAACAATTTAATTGGGTTGGATGATGTTATCCACATAATATACATTTTGTTTCAAGATTATTTCCTCCTCTCCCCTGTCCTTTCTCTTAACTAACAAATCAAACTTCTCTACAAAGCTATGTTACAAAAGCCAGCTGAAGTAAAATCTTGTTTATATTGCATGACTTCTTGAAATAAACAACATTGCATGGAAAAAAAAATCATTATGTGGAAGGGTTATGTTCCTTTAAAACAACCCAACAATATATAATATGAAATTAAGTGAGAATTTTAAAGTGTATTATTTATTTTTCAGTGCTAGAATGCTCTTATTTAACTTTTAAAAATGACTTGCATTTTTGTAACGATTTCGGAGAACTTGAGCTCTACACCTCAACGCTCTCTGCATTACTTATTTTAACCTTGTTATGTTACTGACTTCAAAGAGATTTTTTTTTTGAGCGTGTTTGAAGGGCAGTGTCTCTTTACATTTGTTTTGGGAGTATAGCTTATTTGAACGCCAAAGCGAGAAGAAATTTTCTTTCTGTTCTATCAAAAACTCTGAAGGGAATAGTCTGTCAGTGAAAGAAGAGTTTAATGAACTGTGGGAACTTTTTTGTGATAAAAATATTTAATGATTATTACAAAAATAAATGCTTGGACTTTATCTTCTGGTCCCTACGAGCCTTAATATTTTGGGTGACTGGGGGGAAGGAAATAACATGAGTTGTATTAATTGCAAAACTCTGTGGGGAAAACTCCCCTAAATATGTGTGCGTGTTTAAGTGTGTTCTAAATTTTTTAATATCTTATAGGTAAAAACAAGCAGGCATGTGTAGGGGGGCAAGGGAAGGAGTTAGGGAAATTACTTCAGTCCATCTCTTTCATCCAAGCTTATTTACACATTAGATTCCCTTGGTTGTGCTTGATTGCTGCATCAAGAACCCTGGATTTGCCTGCATACCTTGTTCTGATAGGAGGCACCCTGGGGTTGCTCCCAGAGGTAACTAATGCTTTCCTGCAGTGACACCTTGCCTCCTGCCCACCACACGTGGTAGACACCAGGAGGTGTATCGTAGGGGAACGTTACTGCTGCCAGCAAGAAAATCTTCCTTTTCTTGCTGTTTTGTGGTTTCTATAGTGTTCTCACAATTTGCTATGGCGTTAATGTTTTGAAGGAAGGAACCGACAGCGAATCAAACTGCAGTTTGATTCACTTCTAACAGTATGGTGAAAATTGCAGCTGTTATTGCAGTGCATTGGTTGAAAGGCAATGTTAACGTGCCTGGTAAAATTACGGTATGTGAACAAGCCGGTAGCTTCTGCTCCTCGCAGACCCAAAAATCTGATTGTGGACATGAGATGGCAAGTACATTATCTTCACTATCTGCTTTTCACAAAAATAGCTCAAGTAACAGTTGATTACTATTCGAATACCCTCGTATCACGTATATTTCTTGCTAAAGCTGCTACAATTACTATTTCCCTTTGTACAGTGAGGTGAGACGTAAACAAAACACAGTCAAGTTGGAGGAAAGACAGAAAAGCTAGAGTGGGCAAGCAGGGTAGACAGAATGGTTGCGTTTCCTGCTGCTGAAATTCTTACAAGAAAGTTTACTAGCAAAAAATCTCCTTAGTTTAAAAATACAGGTTTAACACGTGTTCTGTTTCACACTTGCCAGTTGTAGTCGTAACTGAGCCAAAATGAAATCGTAGAGCTGGAGTACTAGCAAATTTAGGATATTTGCAAGTTAGCAGAGTGTTTGAGGCCGTTTTAAAGTCTGTGAAGAAGAATAGAAGCAGTTAAATAGCAGGCTAGTGAAAGTCATCTACTTTTCACTGAGAAGTGTCTGTTTGCTTCTGGGTAGGTTAGTTGAGACTCGGTTTTGCATTTGGCACTCTTAGTTGATATTGCTCAGATACAGCCACCACTTCTGAGCTTGGTAACTCTGTGAACTCTATAGACTGCATCTAAAACAAAGCTGTGCTCCTTCGGTTTTTAATTTGTAACAAGATTTTATTCCCTGAAATGTGTAGGTGCTGTTTTTTCCACAGTCAGTGTAAATAGAAATGTGTTTTATAATTGACTAATGCCAAATTCAGTCTTTAATTCTGATCATGAGGACCGCTCATCACAAGCTGCTGGTCATCTGAATCCTATAAAATAGAAGAAAAAGAAAAATCAGACCTGAACATTGCATTAAGAAATGAAAGTCACTTTTTGGCAAATTTGTCCATACAGATGGCAGAGGTTGCACCTGACACTTTTGCACTAAACAAGTCTTTTTACTGGATGCAAAAAGGTTTATTTTGATTTTAGACTCTGCATGTACATGAGGGTCTTGCTAAATTGGACCATTGAGGCTAGTCAGATATTCTAGCTTTACTCAATCTTTCCTCCCCTTGTTTACCAGCCCCCTCCCCTTGCATTTCAGGTTCTTTGCAGAGTGCTGGCATGACACTCAGCTGCGTTTGCAGCGAAGAGAAGGGAAGACAAAATCGGAAGGCTTTTTAAGTTTGTATAGACACGTCACTGGCATCAAGTAGCGTTTGAAGTCCCATTTAATTCAGCTCTCTTTGCAGGTAGACTTGAGATACAGACCCAATTTGTAGGAGTGGTGAGACAGGAAAGCCAGGAACTTGAATGGTGTTTTCCTGAATTAATTTTTCTTTTTTTGCAACTAGACGTCTTCCTTTCATAAAGTCATTCCTCTTACCATGATTTTAGTTGTGTCTCAATCTCAAATCAAAATGAACACTTACTGAGAAAAGATCATAAGAAGGTTCTGGTGGAGTCAGTGCAGAAGAACTTTCATATGAGGGGTTGGTGATATTTGAAGGCTGTGACTTGTCCAGTGATGTCACGTCAGTGTCATCTTTTAACTACATAAAATCACACAAACCTGCTTAAAATCCATCCTCCTCCTAACAGTGCATTAAGTGGGATACTTAAGCTTCGCTACCGACTGGTGCAGTGTTGTGACTGAACTGGTTTTATCAGTGTCTCCGGGCATGAACTGTGTCCTAGGTTGTTGTATTATCTCCGGTCACTTCACGCTGGAACCTTTTTTTCTCTCCCTTACTATTTTAAAGCCTCAGCAAAGAATGGGAGAGGAAGTGTTTTCCTGGGATAAAAGGTACCTGGGTGGTCCTGAGCACTCTCATAAATTGCAACTACATAAAAATACAAGCATTTCCCCTTGCTCATGGCTCCTGTTTTTGTTTCTAGAAGACAATTCACATTATGCAGGGTCTAGAATAGGAAGGGATTTCTGGTTACTTCTAGGTAGACTTCCTTTTGGATTGATTTTTGTGTATTTTGTAACACTTTTTTGTCATCCCTGGTCTCTTGAGTAGCTTGGCTGTTGCTGGCTGGTTTCACATCACCATGACGCTATGTGAGGCTAGCAAAGTTAGTTAAGAGAAAGCAAGCATGAGAGCGCATCAGTATTAAAAACTTGCGCTTTTCAATCCTGACAGTCATTTCAATTTGCTTGTCTTTTGAATCTGGCCTTTTTCCCTATCAAACATTTCAACCTCCAGAGCAGCAAAATTATTAGCGATGTCCTGAAGGAGAGGGAAGAGAACAGGTGCCCTTTCAGTGGTTGTAATTGCCTGCTTCCCTAAAGGTGAGCTTTCTGGTGAGGCAAAGACTTCCACGCTGGTGCCGTACAGTTAAATAAGTGTTTGGCCAGTCCTTGGTGTTGGAAGTGTCTGTGAGAGCAGGAGCCCCTCGGGCACCCTGGAGGGAGAGGTCGGGGGGAGCAGTAGGCAAATGTAAGCTTGTGTCCAAGACAAGTGTGTGAGCCTTCCCCGCTTTCTCCATGTCTTTAGTCTGAATGGTTCAAGTGGGAAGCGATCGGGAATGTTTCGAGCTTAATAAAATGCAAGGAGAAATTGGAGGCTGTGAGTTTGGGAGGTGCGGTGGGTCTGGGGTAGTGCTGCCCCCCTGCTTTGCATTCCTGTCTGCCGCCTACCTTGAAGTGCTGGAAGCCTGTGTTTCTCTTCCTGAACCTGAGGTAAGAATATCCAATAAAAGCCACAATTCCAGTAACCAGGCAGATGCCAAAGAATATTCCTGTCCCAGTACTGGCATGGAGAGGAGCCTGGAAACGAGAGAGAGAGGGTGAGTGAGCTACGGGGTGGGCACTGGTCACCTACCAGCACCCGAGCACATGCAGTGTCCCTTTGAGATATGCCCTAGTCCTGAACTGCTTCTGTGCTCGAGTTTCCTGGTACGTGATCCCTAGAGGCAGTTAAATACGGCCTTTTGATAGTAATTACAAATTAATTTTTTTCAGGGTACTGGACACTGGCTGTGGTACAGCTTCATCTTGGTTATGTTTCTGAAGTTACAGAGCATGCCTAAGTGATCTCTTCTGGTCAGGCTTTTCAAAGTAGCAACAGAGGCTACGATGAGGCTGAAACCTCACTGGCCTGAGGAGGTGAAGTGGGTACCAAATGCCCTTAAGCAGCTTTGGAAACCCATGCTACAAACCCTAGAAGGCTCAAGCCTGGGTTCAGGCTTATTCCCTGCTGCTTTGTGTGCTGGGAAGGTGTTGGTTATTGCCAGCTATCGGCAGCCATACCATTCTCTGAGCCCTGCTTATCAGGGCTCAAACCAAACCGCATCTGAGAGGAGGCCCATCTCATCACTGGTTAGAGCCACTGCCAGCCTGTGCAGAGGGTGCGCAGGGCTGGGCTCCGCCAGCGGCCCGACACCTGCCTTCTGTAGGTCATTTTGCCCCAAAACATGCAATGCCTTTAACCTGAAATTATTCTTCAGTCAAGCAGGTAAAGCGCCAATCCGAGTAACTGTATATAATATTTTATAAATATTTTAATAAATATGTAGGTGAAGGACTGAAAGAAATTCACATGTGATCTGGATTTAATCTAAAGGGGAGAAATGCCTCCAGACTCTGACTTTGACTTTGGTTTGCCTTCTGCAGCTCTGTGGCCTGACAGACTGATACCATGAAGGTGACTGGCAGTTTTGGGGTGATAATAAGTTTGAGGGATCCCAAGGCACGCAGCCAATCAGGCTGCAATCTCCCCAAAGCACCGTGCTCTTTGCTGGCAATCCAGGAGGTGAGGAGGGGTCTGGAAATGGGTAGGAGATTCATATGCTCTTACTCTTGCTTTTCCATGTGATGCTTTAGCTCCATGGCCTCCTGCCTAGAAAACTAATTATTAAACCTACCCTGGCAAAAATAATCACGTTGTTGTCTTAATAGATATGCTCTCTTCATTTATTTTTTAGAAAACAGTCATTTACACGGTGCAGCTGGACAGCTAAATATTAGAAAACATTTAGTTGCCCTCTAGCATGTGAAAGGTATTATAAAGACTATAATATCATGCTGCTGTAGACTGACAGAAGTTGCCTATTATTTTGACTCATTTTCAGGCAGTAATTTATGCTTTTACCTAAGTGTGTCATTTTCTACTTGTGAGGATTGTAGGCTGCAAGGGCTTTCTGTGAACAGAGATTGTGCAGGCATGTTTCTGAGCTTCTAGGAACAAGAAGGCTGGTTTGTAAAGAAGAAAGGGTTGCTCAGAACAAAATGAAGGTGAGAAATAGGGTATCCGTAGCATTAATCTTGTGGACCAAGGAGGCAGCTGATTAGCCACTTCTGAAATCAGAGCTGGGAGAGATGGGCTG